CTACAGATATAGCTATACCCTTACCTAGGTTGGGTCGTCGGATAAGTTCATGTTGTCTTATCACATTTTTATCACTCCAAATTTGGTTCTTTAGATGTATAAATATAAAGAAAGTGTTGATAAAAGTTGGGAAGTGGAAATCACTAGTAAAAAGTAAGGAATTTATATTGAAGCTGCTTACAACTTAGTCTGAATTTAGAAGACTAAGTCTGTGTCTGGAGAGGGTGGAAAAAACCATTGGAAGCTGCTTACAACTTAGTCTGAATTTAGAAGACTAAGTCTGAATCTGGAGAGCGTGGGAAAAAGCATAGAAATGATTGGATCAATTAGTAGCATACACTCTTTGCGACAAAGAGTCACAAGAAACCCATTGTCTTTAGACTTATTTCAGGTAGAGCAAATTTAGTGTTTCTGTAATCTATATAATTTTTAGGTTTAGTTTAGATTGGTTCCAACCAGCAATATTTTGTGTCACAATAGATTTAGGCAAAGTCTATAGATACCGTCTTTCTGATATGCCGAAATAGATAGGTACTCATTAAAGGGTTAAGTTATTATGTCTGTCGACTCCCTTCAACCTGCATTTGCATTCATCAACTAGATTTGATGACGTAAATGGGTTGATCAGGGCTTTAGGCGCAGCTTGGTTGTCACTTTAAACAAAGATGATCATTTGTTTTTAATCTAAACTCCATTAATTTAGTGCAAGATTATATTAGTCTATGGCTCTCAAGATTACCAGCATTTTTGTTTCAAAAACAGATATGTGCAAAAGACACGTATTTTTTAAATTGTCGAATAATATATGAGCGACTGAACCCTTTTCAGTTTTCGAGACAACGATACAAATTCGAGAAACATGTTAAAAAGCAATAATCCCACTTCTGACGTTGTGGGAACTGGACTTAAAGTACGATTCCGTATTTAAAGTATGGAAAGTAAGAACAAAATGAAAATTTGTCGTCACTGCGTCTGATAATATTCTTAGTACATGTGTATGGATGAAAAAGATTTTCAGAAAATTTTTATTTAAAATCACAATGAATAGCTTGAGTTCGATAATAAATTGAAATGATACTTCTTTATTATAAAGAAAGAAATAAAATTAATTTTACTACTTTATAGTAATGCTTGTAATTGTAGTTTTTGTTAATTTTAATAGCAAATTAATCTAGTATTTATAAAATATACTTCGATTCTATGAATATCTATTGTATTAAATGAAATACTCGATAAGATGTACAGTTTAATTCTAATATGTTACATTTTGTATATCAAAGCCATTACTACTATTTTTTATACGTTAACAGATATAATGCTATTGCATACAATATTATGTATTTTAAGTCTTCAGTTATTTCTTGTTGAATATATAAAAAAAATTTCTATGAGGGAACTTTCTTGTATACCCTCTAATTGTACGTAGATAATAAAATTCCTTATGCTATTATTAGATTCTCTTGATATCACTAGGTATGTCATGTGTATATATAGTCAGCGATTATGGATATGACTAATTAATTGTACCAAAAACCATAAAAATTGTGTTATAATTATAAAATTGAGAACGTATGTAAATAAATTTACTTTCAGTAAAGCAAATAAATTTATTATATTTTTTATATTGTTTTATTTATACAACTTCTATAAGTCTGTCATTCTAAATCTGTCAGAATTAATTATATCCAGTGAAATAAATCCTAATATACCTTCTGCTCAAAAAGTACTCGGATTTTGTAAATAAGACACACAAATTTAAATTTTATTCCAAATTTATTTTATCTTCTTCAAAATATGGTCCTTTTGAAGCGATACACATATGCTAACGCTTAACCCAATCTTCCATACACTTTTCGTAGGCCCGAGAAGGTATGGCTTTTAGTTCCTTCAGCGAATTCTCTTTTTGTTTGATCAAAAAATAGCGTACAACAAGAATTTTCCATAGTAAAAATCGCTAAATGCACTTGAGGTAGTGTCACATTAACAGCTGCTAACTAATTGACAGATGGCGCTCAAATTTGTACCATATGTCAAGAAAGGGTGTATCAACACAACAAAAAATTTTTGAAAAAGATCAATTACTTAAGGAGTAGTTAACAAACAACAAAATCCGTATACTTTTTGAGCAGAAGGTATGCGTAGATTTAAGTTGCTTATAGGAAAAAATAGTGAAACAACATTTAAAATTTTTTTTGGTTATGTTAATTGAGTTTGACAAAAGTAAATAGCTTTTAAGTAAATTCAAGTATTATAAAAATATTGTTTTTTCACAATTGACACCAACAATAATAATCCAATTGCTCTCCATTATATACTTTAATGTATTTACCTATCTTACTGTATCCACTCTTATTTGAATGGTCAAATAATTTTCATTTTGATGAAAACCTGAACAATATCTGTATTATCTGTATTTCCTATAAAGTAAAAATTTACCTGGTTCTTAATTATATTAATAAGTGGACTCAATTCGTATTTTATATATTAATCCTGTCAGGAATTTTAACTATTTAATTGGTGTTAAAGAGTGCAAATGCTTCTTATAAACTGCGAATATATTTATTTATATCCATAAATGTGTGTTTCTTCTGACAATTTTGTCACAAGTACTCTTGCACAGATTTTGTCATAGTGGTAAATCACATTTTAGTCCTTAATACCTTTATATACATAAGTCATTTTCTTCAACGTATTGGATTTTTATATTTGATCTTGTATTACGTCCACCGAGGCGTATGAAAAACCAATAACTTGGCAATTTTTGTGCAACCAATCGCATTTGCCAATTGCCTTCGCAAAATGATATTACGCTTCATATAAACTGATTTTCCACATTTTTCCTTATACAGTAGATATGTATATGTTTTCCAACTTTATGTATATATGTATATATATAGTATGAGTAGAAACGATATGTGCAAGTTCCAACTTCAATTTATTGGATTTTTCTCTATATTTTATACTGGCAAAAATGTATAAAAACAATAATAAAAACACACTTAAATGTAATTTTTCTACGTTCATATGTAGTAGTATTTCTATATATATATATGTGTGTATTTGTATATATATATATCTTGTATCTTGTGTTAAGAACCATGAATAGTGGAATTTCGTACATCATTTGCTTCATTCGTTTTCATGCTGGACATTTTTTATCAATTTTTATTTGATTATTTTATTCTTCTACTCTAGCTGTAGAAAAATTCGAATATTCCACATTTAAACAAATATATGAAAATACTCGTATATATCCTTCTACAAATGCACAAAATTTGTTTTTGTAGAGTTTATGGATTTGTTATCATTTGCTATATTTTTTCTAATAGTTTCTAAATGAGTTTCCATTTTATTGCAAAACCAAAAACTATATATATAAAATTTTGATTATATTTTAATTATTTTTTCGCTGGAAATGCTGGAGATGCTTCCAATTATAATAATTTTAATTTCATATAAAATTTATAATAAAAAAATAAAAATACAAAAACAAATATACAGGAATATACTCTGAGCAACGTTATAGTATATAATATATAATATATTAAAGTATATATATAATATACTAAATAATGTATAGTAATTAAACAATACCTAACATAACATTATTAAATAAATAATATTTAACAATATTATAATATTTAACAATATTATTTATTGTTGTTGTTGTGGTTTGAGTTAGTGCTATGCACACTTTTACTCATTTATTGTTTGGGGGGGGGGCTTATCTCTGCCTCATACTAAGCTTTCACTATACTAGAATTATTATCATTTATGACAAACCGTAGATCAGCATAACTTCCTGTGCGTCCTGAGATGGACTTAACGTATAGACTTTTGTAAATAACTTTAGGGCTCTGTCCTTGATATATTTTTTCACTAAGTCGATCCTTAGATTTCTATGCATATCTGTTGTATTAATATACCAAGGAATCTTAATTAGTCTTCTTGAAGCCAGTTTTTGTGCTATCTGTAAATGCTTTATGGCAGTATTTGAGGCTTATTTGAGCCTAATTATTTGAGTATATAATAACTTTCTAATTTTGAGGATGAATCGATTATTATTATTATCAATTAGAAGTTCAAAAACCTACAATTTTAAAAGTTAGGCTTCTACATGACAGTTCTAAATTTCTTTAAGTAGTTTTTAGTTGAGTCAGTTTTCTTCTTCCTTGTGGGTATTATTAATGGAGCGTATGTAAAAAGAGTGTCACCTAACTAAACCTAAATATAATTTCATTTAATTATTTATTTGCTGTATGCTCGCAAGCAATCACCATATTCGTAGTATCTGTTGCCCATAATTTTAGTATCTTAGTTCTAAAAGTTTTCTAAGTAGTTTTTAGTTGAGTCAGTTTTCTTCTTCCTTGTGGGTATTATTAATGGAGCGTATGTAAAAAGAATGTCACCTAACTAAACCCAAGTATAATTTCATTTAATTATTTATTTACTGTATGCTCGCAAGCAATCACCATATTCTTAGTATCTGTGGCCCATAATTTCAGTATCTTAGTTCTAAAGTTTCTCTAAATAGTTTTTATCGAGTCGGCTTTCTTCTTCCTTGTGGGTGTCATTAAAGAAGCTAATGTATAAAGAGTGTTACCTAAGTAGACGTAACTATAATTTCAATATTCTTAGTATCTGTGGCCCATATTTTTAGTTCTAAATTTCTCTAAGTAGTTTTGCATACTACATGCAACTTGTAACGCACCATAAAACGGATTTGGCGCAAGGATTAAAATTTTTTTTTTTTTGTAGAAAGAGATCCGTTGCACATAAAATACTTTTTAATTTAACAACGTACATCCAGTTTTAGAAATCTGATTCCTATTGTTACCAATGGTTACTATACACCCAAGGAATTTAAATTGCTCGATAACTTTTTTTATAAAAATTTCGTTTACAATTGGATTATAAACGAATCCAGTGAGCATAAAATATAGAAAAATATTTGAAATATGTCATTAGAAAATTTTAAGCTAAAATAATCTTCAGTAAAAATAAAAAGTTTTAAAATTTAGTAAACATTTTGGTTCTCATTTACAAAACTGTATTTTATATAGCAAACCAGCTACTAATGTTAAGGTTTCCATTGAAAATTCGTTAAGTGAAATTTTCGCAAAATGACTTGCAGTTTCAATAACTTACAGACTCAATTAATATTTAGCAGTCTAAATAAAAAACCATTGTACTCCTGGGGTAAATCGGTGCGTTGTGGTTCTATAACACGTCTTACTGATGAAGATATCGATAAACCAGTGCTGCAATTATCTGCTGGTGACACGAAGAAAACCTTTATTACCATAAGCCTTAAAAAAAATGTGACCATAAACAATAAATTACCTATTTTCGTTTTGATTGTAAAAAATATGTATTCACCTTTCGCTTTTGATGTACAGGTAAATTCTTATTTTCACATTTTATATAATTACTTTGTTGAGGATATATTTTTCAAAGGTTAAAGATGATAAGGATATGTGGCGTCGCTTTAGTTGTGGTACTACAACAGCTGAAACTCGCATTTCCCCATATACTTGTTTGCTGCCATTAAGCTTAGATCATGGTTGGAATTACATTCAAATGGATCTCGCCGATTTGATTAAAAAAAGTTATGGAACACAATATGCTGAAACCTTGCGTTTACAAATATATCCAAATTGTCGTATATATCGCATATACTTTGCTGATCAACTTTGTCCAATCCATCAATTGCCCGAAGAATTGACTTTTATTCATCTTGAGAAAGATGAAACTTCATCAAAATCAATCGGTTAAATTTATTTATAGAACTTAGATGTTCATGGTGAAATTTTAGTAAACTTGAAAGTACAGTTTCGGAAATAAATTGAAAAACGTTTTAACATTGAAAATATTTATATGGAGGTTTTTCTTTAGAAATTTTCATACCTAGCGACAATTTTTTCGTCAATTCTTTTTTTATTTTCCAGTTTTCGCGTGTTTTGTGCTGTCAATTTAAACATTATTTATTTTAATTTATATTCAAAGTAAACAAAATAACAAAAAGAATTTTGTACACTGATACATTTCAGTCACTATATTTCCTTTCTGATTCAATACAACGATTTGCACATCTTAAAAGCGAGAATCTGGAACTTCAGACTATTGTAGAGTTTATCTTCGTCGATTTTTGTTATTCTTTGAACTTTGTGCTGCGATTCTTATACGGGGTTATCTGCTTTGTGGTTTTAAAAGTAAACGTAATTAAAATGTAGTTAAGATTACAATAACTAACACACTTCAAGGGCATATAAACTTCATCTTGGAGTATTTTCAGAAATGGAAAATAAATATCAATAACGAAAAAACTAACGCTCTGTTCATTACACGTAAGAGGGGACGGAACCCGTGGAAGATATGGTAATAAACTGGGATAATAGCATATCTAAATAAATATCTAGACATCACGGTGGATAAACGATTCACATGGCTTGAACATGTTCAACTGAAAAGAATTAGTTGTGTCAAATTTCTTCATCATCTCCAACCGCTATTCAAAAATTAAAATCTCAATGTTAAGAACAGGAAGCTGATATATAACCAAATAACTCGACCGTCACTTCTATATGGATGTGTAGCGTTCACTATGGCCTCAAATATTACTACTGCAAGGCCTTAGCTGGAAATTACATAAAGCTAGGCTCAGAGAAAACTTTTCAAGGTGCTATTGTGCATTATGACGAATCACATCCTAAGGAACCTCAAGATTGATCCGATCAAAAAATACATAAAGGATAGAACGCTGAAACTATTTACGAAAACTGACAGGCTTACCAACAGCACGTTATCGAATCTCAGAATGGTAACAGGCTACTCAGCGAGGTATGCAGATCTGAAGTCAGTTATTGTTTAGTCTGATGAAGTGATAAACAATAATCCAGTCAAGGCGTAGAGAGGGGTTATGGAGAAATCTCGCAGTTAGTAGAGAGTAAAAGTGCTCAATGCACTGACTTAACTAGCTTCAAGATAATAATATATATTTAGAATTATATATTAATATTTATAAGTTTCAAAATTTATTTTTTAATATGAAATAAGATATTAGAAGTGAAAAAAAAATTCTATATATATTTTTCAACTACTTTGAGCTTTAAAGTTTAAAGTTCTTCAAGTACTTTAATTTGCACGTAATTTGAAATGAAGTTACAAAGGAAAATATGATAAAATGCCTCTGTTGCAATAAATTTGCAGTGTCATTTATCAACTTAACTGACAGTCAATTACTTTTCTATTCCGAATGAGATTGTCGATTTAAGCCTTTTTCATCTTATACGAGTAAGTGAATGTGCCTTGCTTTCTACATACTTTTAACCGCTTCCTAACTAAATCGAATATAGTGTGTTACACCAGAAAAAGGAAAAAAATTAACAGAAATGACACATTTTAGCCAAATCACTGTGATTTGCACTCAAAGTCAATTGAAAACGAGCAATTGAAATAAATTGAATGCTTGTGTGTTTTGCAATTGAAAAGAAGATAAAGTATCTGAATGGGGCAAGTGAACAATTCAATTAAAATGTTAAAGCCTAATCTTTATACAAAGTGATTGCAGTTATTAGACTGCAGTTAACATTGTATATTGTTGTCTTTAAAATCTTTAAATAGATGGCATTATGGTTTAATAATATATTTTACTCTATTTATTTTTGCTATTATATTTACATTGAGCTATATAATATATATCGCATCATATATAGCGGTATCAACTTTATTGACCGTAATCTATATTTTATATTTATCTGATATGTTGAAATGCAAGAAGGTGCAAAAAATGAAAGGTAATGGCATTTTCGATTGGTAAATTTGGGGTAACTTTTTTAATCGAGATTAACTTTTACTGCAGTTTTAATTTTCAATTGGTAAATCTCGAGCGAAATGTATACCACTGGAGATTAATGCATGACATTCGGGATTAATTTATAACACTCTAGGTAGATATTTTGCCAGAGTAGCAACATTACCCTGAAATTGACAGTTGTTTTATACGACAACAAATAAATAATGATTTCATTCGATATATGTATTTAAGAAATATATTAATATCTACTAACACAGCTACAAAAATTTTAGATTATTTTAAAAATGGTCGACTGGGCAATAGAGTTTGACAGATCTAGAATAAATAAATCTAAATATTGTCTAAATCTATATATATAAAA